CTTGCTCTATCCTTCCATGGCTGAGAGACTCTCATCCTTGTTTCTCTTCTTGTAAGGACACTAATCTCACGTGTGGCTCTATCCTGGTGATCCAATCACCCACCAAAGGTCCCCTCTCAAAGTTCCATCACATTGGAGATTAGGGCTTCAACATATGAAAAATTTGGAGCAACACAAAGATTTAGACCAAACATTCAGCACTAAAATTATTTGTCTGTGTACAAGTTTATTGTATGTTTTCTCCAACAGAAATATGAACTCTAAGAGACCAGAAACCATACCTAGTCTTTAGTAGGGATTAAATAAATAGGTTTTAAGAATGAGTCTTGGCTATTCCCAGCAGTACGCCCTTTGGAACTTCTAGGTCATTAATGAGGCAGGGAGTACAGATCTGTTTCAGGTTTAACCAGGACACCTGGGGAAATCTGTCAATATAGGAACCGCAGGAAGCAGGTCGCAGCAGAGAGTATGGAGAGAAGGCCCAGAGCAACTCTATGAGCCGAGTTGCATATAGTGGCAGAGAGTTTGCCTGTGTGTGTGTGTGTGTGTGTGTGTGTGTGAGAGAGAGAGAGAGAGAGAGAGAGAGAGAGAGAGAGAGAGAGAGAGAGAGATTTTTGCAGAAAATACTTGCCTCCAAAGACTTCCAAGCATAGCTTAGGATGGTGGGAAGGAGAGACCAACAGTGCATAGTGGTACTGAACGGGAAGACAGGAAATACTACCTTCAGAGAGAGAGAGAGAGAGAAGCAGGCAAGGCTCATGGTCTTTTTCTCAGTCTCTGATCATTAGGACAACTTTCTGAAGTTCTTTCTGTGGGGGGACAGTGTTTTGGAAGTGATAATGTGTTTCTCCCCAGCTATTCCCTGTTATTTTTTCCCAGGCCTCATTTAATCCACTTGTCTATGCTCATTATTTTGGGGGAAGGAAAGGGCGAAGCCTAAACAGATAAAAGGATTGTCCTGACTAGAGTTTCCAAAGCTCAGGCCCCAGAGGAAAGCAGGAAACACTGATGAGTAAGTGGAAGGCTTTCTTGCCACCCAAATAAAGCAAAGATCCCCTGGCCTGGGGGACGGGGACCAAGGGGTGGGCTGGGTGCATAGATACAGGTCATCTGAGCACCAGGAGCCCTGACCCTGCTGGAGCCTGGGGCAGAGGAGGGGTTCGGCCAGACCCCAGGTGTGTGTTAAGAGGTGAGGTGCTGTTCTGAAAGGAAGCTTCTAGGGTGTCAGGGATCTGCCCTCAGTCTTCATCAACCGCTCGGCCCTTCTGTTGATGCTTTTGCTCAGTGCTTTTCAAATGTCATGTGGACACAAAGTTTTTAAAAAGATGAATTCCAATTTGGTAGGCCTGGAGGGGGGCCTTAGATTTTTTCTTTTTAAATTTGTTGTAGTTATACATGACAGCAGAATGCATTTATGCACTTTTATGTATCGTACATAGATGGGATATAATTTCTCATTTCTGTGTTAGTTTGCTTTTCAAATAGCAAATCTGTTTAGCAGCATCCCCAGCCTCTACCTACCAGAAACTAGTAGCACCCACCTTCAGTCCAGATAGCCAAAAATGTCCCTAGATATTGTCAGATGACCCCTCGGGGGGGGATCGACTCTTGGATGACAACCATCAATGTAACTGATTCCAGCTTGTACTCCATTTAATATATTTTGGAAATCAGGGAAGATGACTGTGCTCAGTGTAGATCTGCTGTTACAATTATTAATATTTAAACTAACTGCCCTTTGAAGATGCATAAAGGTTCATCATATTAGTGTCTCATCAGTTATACAAATGTTAAAACTCATCTTTTGTGCACTTTAAATAGATGCAGTTTATTGGACATAATTATATTTCATTATGATAAAATTTCCTTTTTAAAAAAGAAAATTCTCTATATTTGATTATGAGTTGAAAATTGTACTTACATATTTTTATTTTTATGTGTGTGGCCTGAAATTCCATGTGGGCTAAAAGTCTCTGCGAATATGCGCTCTGTCGGGCAGCTTCTTGTCACTGTGATCTAAAGACCTGACGAGAGCAACTTAGAGGAGGGAACGTTTGTTTTGGCCCCCGGTTTCAGAGGGTCAGTCCGTGGTCAGCTGGCTCCATTGCTGTGGGGCTGCGGTGAGGCAGGGCATCTCGATGAAACTGCTCCGTTAATGGCAGCCAGGAAGCAGAGAGAAAGCTGGAAGAGCCAGGGACAACGTGTGTGATTTCCCAAGACCCCCCACCCCACCCCGACAGGCACTTCCCCCACCATGCCCTGCTGGGGCCAGAACTGGACAGGCAGTCAGTGTAGATAGGTAAATCCGGCCAGGGCCGATCAAGGAGGCCAATTTTGAGTGAGTCCCCCAATAGAGACTGCCCCTGAGGGACTGAATGTGAATTCCTTCAGAGCCCTTCCTCCCCCCTTACCACTCCAGAACCACCCCCTGCTCCAACCTGCTGCTGAGGTAACCTGTCCAGGAATGGCCCTCCCTACAGGGAGTTTGAGCTGGTTCTTGTGTCCTGGGCTGCTCCATCCTGCCCTTCCCCCTCAGCCCACCTGGTTCCCACCTCTGGCCATCCCACCAGCACCCCTGGGCCTAGTCACGGGCACCTGAAGGAGAGAGACAAGGGGAGAGGACAGGAGGACAAAGGCAGCCTAGGAGATACAAAGGGGCAGAACACCTCGCTTCTGGGGACACCAGGACACCAGCTATGGCCCCCTTCTCCCTCCCGGGAGAAGTCTATGTTGCCCCTTTTTGAATGAACCCTGCCTTATATGCTTGCCTGGGCGAGCTTCTCTAGTGTTCAAACTTCAGCATGTGGGGAAGCAGAACTCGCCACCAGTAACCGGTGGTGTCACCGCCTGCCTACAGTTACCACCCAGTAATTCACATTAACTCTTCTGTCCTGTGGATTAAACCACTGATTGGGTTACAGCTCTCGGAATCTAATCATTTCCATCCTGCGTGAACACAGGAGCACTTGGGGGACACCTCATATCCTAACCACCATGCTTGCTGATGGTAGGGTACTTCATGGGCACAGTTCCATACAGAAAAAAATATGTGTGGCTCTTTTGTCCCACTGGGTTTTAGAATCTATCATCATGCCCTAAAATAACTGCCTGTGGTCAATTCAGCAATTTTAAAAAGTACCAAGCAACATGAAGAGTGAAAGGGAAAACCAGCAGTGGAGGAAAAGGAGCTGACAAGTGGGGGCTAATGATTCTGAAACCCAAGTGGAATATTGTTATAGGTTCACATTTGCATTTGAACTAATAGGATATGCCTGGTTTCAATGAAAAGTACACATCTCAGATTCACTAATCTTTCAAATCTAAGATCAAAGTCCAGCAACCCAGAAACCTCTGTGTTTAATAGTGCCATTTTCAGTATCGTTTGGTATCTTATTCTTTTCTCATCCTGTAGATTGTGCACTTCTACTTAACATGGCAAATCACGATAAAAAGCTTCTGGTCCTGTGAGAATACAGTACAGCCCTCCTCGCCTCAGAACCATACAACACCCGGTGGGAGTCTGAAATAGATTCAAAGAGTTATAAAAGATAAAACTTAGTTTAACAAATGTTTTCAACTTGGGTGAAAACAGTCCTTCTTCTCGGCCCTGGGAAGGCTTCCCATCATAGAAGTGTAGCAATGAGGGAGACCTTCAGTGGTCACTTGGGGAGATTCACAAATTTGGTTCTTAATGGAATCTTTTAGAAATACAGCTTCCAAGACCCCACTTCAAACCTAAAGAATTAGATTGTGTAGAGTGGAGGGATTAGGAATGTGAATCTTTCCAAAGCCTTCAGAGTGATCTGAAGATGAACTAGACTTTGGGAACCATGATGCCATCAACCGTGTACCCAAAGGCAGAGTCACCTGATGGTGTTCTTGTGCAAACCCACTAGCTCACAGGCAGCCCTTCATGGAGAAGAGCATGGGTTGGAGGGATCTGGTGGGCAGAGACAGAGGGTAAGGGTGTCTGTGGCTGCATTAGTAGCAGAAAGAAGCCGGAATGGAAGGAGACGAGTTGGGAGGGGACACCTGGGGCTTTATCATGGAGTGATCAAAGTGTGAAGCTCGGGAGTCTCCACGTTGCCCCTTGTGTGATGGAAGCCCTTGATAGGACCATGACCTCATGAGTGGAAGAAGCCTGCCCAAGCAGAATGGATTGGAGACCAGGGAGGACCATGCCGAGGGAATGGTGGGCAGCTTCATTGGAGAGTCAAGTGAGGAGTAATAAGAACTCGGAGGAGAGGCAGTAGGGATAACAAAGAGGAGGAAAGCGTGGCTGCATCCCAGGGCTGGCTCTTCAAAACGCCACTGACTGGGGGCAGAGAAAAGTCAGGTGGATTCTGGGGTTCTGAGGCCCCCGAGTGGCAAAACATTAACCAGAACAGTGACATTAAGATCAAGAGCAGACTGAGGAGGCAGAGGGCAAATGAGGTTTCTGACATTTGATAATGTGTTTGTTTCTGTAACTTCCCACATCGGCCCCTCACCTGTCCCATGGCAGAGCCAAGACGTGACTCTCTGTTGTGCTCAGAGGTGGCACAAAGACCAAAGGAACGTTTGCTGAATGAAAAGCCACTGTCCATGTCTTCACCCATCACCCTCCCTGCTGTTTAGAGCCTCATTATTTCTCACTTACTGCAAGCCCAAGGACAGCCCTAGCTCATGCAAAGTGCCTCCTCTGGGCCTATGAATTAGGAAAGCCATGGTCACCTGCAAAGATGCAGCCTTTTCTTCAGGGCTTGGGAGGCAGAGCGCACCTGTGGGAAGAGAAAGGTGCTGCTTCCTGTAGGGGACACCTCTCCTGCTGGGACCAAGGGCCCGGAAGGCTCAGCGGTGGGATTTTAGGTGCTCATTCCCTCGGCTGGCACGGAGAGCCCTGGGAGTCTCTCCCAGCTGGCTGCCTGGAACCAACCCTGCCATTTCCATGGCACTTAGAGGATTTCCCCTCGGAAATGCAACCCTACTGTACTCTACTTCAAACCTTCGTGTTTCCCCAGCTCCTCAGATCAAGTCCGAAGTCCTTCACTGAGAACAAAAGTCCCTTCAGGACAGCTTCTCGGGGCCACGGCTCTCCTTGACATCCTGCTCTCTGTCCATCAGCGGTTCCTGACGCCTCCGCACACAGCAAGGTTTGCCCAGACTGCATCTCCTGCCCCTGCCCGCTCCCTCCCAACCCCTCCCTCCCAGACTGGGCCTGGTTTTTCCAAGATTTACCTGGTTCACCTCAGGGGAGCTGCCTTGCCTTAATTCTAGTCTAGACTAGCACCTGCCCCTGTGCCCTGTCCCTCCTGTGGTGACACCTGGAACTCAGCACTTTCCAGGCTGTGGATCCTGCCTTCCTGTCTGTGACCTCAAGGATGGAGGATGTGTTTTCTTTACGCCTTTCCCCCAACATTGGGATGCAGGCACCAGGCTTAGTCTTGTTCAGTGGACAAATGACGCCTGGTGCAGATTTTACCAACCAATCAACAAACAAACAAAAACCCCCCAAATATCAAACAGAACAAAACAAGAAAAAGCAAAATGACAAAATCCCCCAAAGCAAAAAAGCCCCCCCAAAAGTTTTTGCTGTCTTTTGAATATGTGGTATTCTGTCTGTTGTCAAAATTGTTTTTTTTTTAAATAATTTTATTTTCCATACTTTTCTAGAGGCTTGAAATTATTATTCCCTTAAAAAGCCAATGATCAAATTATCACTTGGCTTATTTGACCTCCTGGGGCTTCATCCCAAGGCTAGTTTGTTCTAGTATATGTATTTGATCTCTTTGAGATGCTTTGAAATATTTGCCCAGAGATTCAGTAACATAGTTGGCCTCTGGGGTTAGAGTTGTGGCTCAGTGGTAGAGCGCTTGCCTCGCATGTGTGAGGAACTGGGTTTGATCCCGAGTACCACATAGCAATAAATAAATAAAATAAAGGTAGTGTGTCCATCTACAACTAAATCATTATTATTATTTTTTAAATTTCAACTTTGTTTAAAAAAATAAAGAAAAGAAAATACCATTTTTAAGGTAGACGGCTCTGCCCATCTGCCTCAGACTAAAACCCATCTCTGATGGTGGTTTCATGAGTGTGTTCAAATGCTAGAACAGCTCCACGATGAATTCTGGAGCCTTTCCTGGAATTTCCAGCCCAGTTTCTAGTTTTTAAAATGTTTGTATTTTTTTTTCTCCTTTCTCCCAAGAATGTAAAAAAGTGGAGAGAATGTGATTAAAGAAGAAGAAGAAGAAGAAGGAGG